AACATCGACCAGACTACACAGCGCAACAACCCAGAAGACAGAAATCTTCATACTCATCGCCCTGATGACGGAGGCAGTATGACCTCTGAAACGTTGGTTAACATCGACCAGACTACACAGCGCAATAACCCAGAAGACAGAAATCTTCATATTCACCGCTGTGAGAACCTCAAGTCTTACACAAATTTCATATCTTTCTTCTTTTTCTTCTTCTTCTGGCGTGGCCACTGCAGCCGGCTCATATATTCCGTCGATTCCTATTTGGACCTGTATTTTACATGAGACTCAGCACCTGTGTAAATTATGTATTTATTATTTTTAATTCATGTCTTTGAAGCTTCTCTTAAAAAAGGGATCACTGCAATGGAAATAAACGAACACGAAATAAAGAGGCAACGAGATGCTTATGAGTAAGCTTAAATAAACAATTACTTGGTATAAATAAGCAACAAAAAAGTTAGTTTTTTTCGGAGGCGTAATTTAACAAGGCACGGTAAAATTAGAGATGTGTGTAACTCACCACACTCCACCGATCTGCTCGTGCGTCGTAAGCTTCGATCACATCTGTTGGCCTTCCGTCACAACGCCCACCAATAGCAAAAAGAATATCCTGTGGGATTCGCGGGTAGGCAATCCTTGGTGTCACGAATTCCTTGTCAGCGTTTTCTTCCTTCGTCAACATTTGCACGTCGCGTAGGAACGCGTGCGTCTCCAAGATCAAGGGTCCGCACCCCTCATTCTCCGTCACGTACGCGTGATTTGATATCTGTTGAACAGTTCAATGTGGACGTTATGAACTCTTATGAAGAAATGGCATCAGTCATAACAGAGGAGACAAGAAATCCACACATAATTTGGTTGGGAACTCACCGAAATAGACTGTGGTATATACAGGATAACATGTTTTTTCGTTTATGTAACGACGGTCGTAAGAAATGCACAGATTGTGGAGAGTAGAGAAATCAAATTTAAAACGATCTTAGAGAAAATTATTGAAATGTGTTTCAAACGAAATTTAAATACTTCAGTATTGTTTGATTTTGAGTTACATTCAAAAATGTAACTTATTTCTCGTCTCTCGTGCGAGATGCACGCCGCGATCACCACATTATTTTGTTTCGATAACTTTAATTAATCGTCAAAATTACGTAACAACGAAAGATAATTATGACAATTAGTTGCTTCGAGTGTCAAGAGAGGCACCTGCTGCATGTTGAAGGTTGGGTTGAAGGCCCGTCAACACAACAGCGTGTGATTATGGGCTCGATGTCTACTAAGATCCATTGCATGTTTCGACATTAATAGGTCATCATCAGGTGGTTCTCTTTAAGTGTTCGAAACTAGTAGGTACGAACGCTAAATTGTAAAGATATTTGAAGCAGATAACATTTTCATGGATCCGTGCGATTGTTTCACACGTATTCGTAAGAGGTGAGTGGCTGCAATCACAGAGCATTTGAACTAGAGTAGAAACATTTTTCTCTCTGGTTAAAACGCATTCTGAAATGGAAGATGGCAGGTTAAAATATTAGAATGTTCAAGCTGTCTATGATTTAGAAGCCCCTTGGATAATTTACTCTTGGTTGTAGAACGAAGGTTTCTTGCAGCACTTCTCTGATATCTGTTGTCCCTATGTGGTCAATCAGCTGAGAATTATCATGCTGAAGTGATCTCGGGTTGACTATACAGAGTGTCCCAGGAAGAAAGGTCAATATTCTGTTAGGTCGAAGCATCAGTCATTCTAAGCAAAAAAGTTCATAAACTTTTTTGCTTAGAATAACTCTGTATATATCGTCGAAGATGCGTGAAATTGTTATAGCACCTAAGATACACTTATTTTGACAGTAGCATCTTTGGTTAAGTAGAACACTGCGTCAGAAAACGTGATTTATCTGTTGGAGGATTTTCCTATTCAATCAGAATGGATTTTTGAATGTAGTTAAAGGTAGAATGCTGTAGTTGAACTGAAACATGTAATGGTCTTAATAAACACCGAGACTGTAATCAAAGATTGTAGCGCAGACGGACTCTCAAACTAAAGGACGCTTACAGTCGGTCAATAAATGATGATCATTAACTCCAAACACATATCTGCACGAAAGGACAAATCAAATATTTGTTTTGCACACACACACACACACATGCGAGCGTGTTACCAGCGGAATTGCACAGGTAGTTATTGAAACCATGGTAACCAAGGTAATCTGGAGATTTCTTACTCAGCAAATTTTGCGCGGAATAAGGCATTAAAAAATTGTGCAATTTTCACGTTGCTGTTGTAACATTTTAAACAGAATTGGAACATGTCAACAGACTCTTTTAAAGCTCATCAGTATTAAATTTAATGAAAATCCGTTTAGACGTTCTCGAGCAGAAACTTCGGACAGACGAATTGGCTTACACATGACGAAGCAAATGCTCAAGATTTGCATTAATTAGAAATTGTAAAAATGGAATTGAAAATTTGGGCTTCACTTTCCATAAACATCCACGATTTCAGGGGCATACTGACCTTCTGAAGGAAATACTTTGCGTCAAGGAGTCCTAGTCTGACGCCCTTTAAAAGGCCCACGATGTGATCTTTCCTGCTGTCCGGGTCGTGGTTAATCCACCGGAGAACGCATTCCCACACATCTTTCTCGTACTTCACGTTCAGTTCCTCTGACCCGATTATTGCTTGCAGCTCCTCTGCAGGCAGTTCCAGCAGGTCTTCGTTCTGATGAGACACTTCCACGAAGTGGTACAGAAGGAAGCGAAGAGCGTGAGTGTCAAGTTCGGGGCAGAAGTGAAACCTACGACAGCGAAGGTAAGAGCCGACTCAGAATCGATCTCCTTCGAACTCTGACACAATGAAACACTGCAGCAAGAACTGGATTCTCAAGCATTTGCACACCACAGTATTTCGCCTTCACTTTTTACCTTGGCATTTTGAAGCACGAATGAGTGAGACTGAGAAGACACGCTCCGTTTAACCGGGGCAAAATAGTAAGTTTTCGGCTATGATGGTTCCCAGGCAATGCCCGCTCGTCCTCGTGATAAGGTTATAGGTTGAAACAAGGGCACGGTGTACGCAAGTGAAGAAGGCAGTGAGATTAGAAGTGTAGAATTTTAAATTCTAGCGTTAACCTTGGCGAAACGACATTGTATTAACTGTGTGTGTTAATCCAGTGAAACCTCGTTTAACCGGACTATATGGGGGAAACCACGGGTCGGATAAGGCGATAAGTCGGACGAGCGAGGGAAAGGGGAACGTGGTCCTGGATATGTTTAAGTAAGTAGAGACTCAATACAGATATTCCTCGGCGGCGGATGATGCGGGCGTTTCACACGCACAAGTCGACGGCACAAGAGTCACCCGTGAGCGCTGTTCGAGGGAGTTCCTGTATTAAAATAGTGAATTTATCAGTCATTCTGTCCATGGTATGAAGTGGTGATTCTGGTGTGATTCCGCCGATGTCAGTTGATTTGCTTACTATTTTGTCCTGAACAAGAAGGAGTAGGGGTTCACCCGATAATAACCAATTCTCTAAATATCCTGAAGTGTTCAAAATAATCACCAATATCTTGGTGTGGGGTTAGATCAATGAACTGTACAGCGTGAACATCGCTTTACACAACTCTCGCCGGCAGAAATCGATCGCAACCGATCTGGTTGAAATTCGATCGGTTAATGCGGGAATCGGATAATCGAGGGTCGGTTAACAGAGGTTTTGCCATATGCAGAAAGATGTGGGGCTGAATGCTGATTTTGATATTGAGAGGATTATGTAAGAAGCAAGGAATGCGCAGAGAAAGGAAGAAAGAAAGAAGGGAAGGAATTCGGGAGGAAGAGAGAGAATATTGTGGCCCTGAAATAAGCTGATTCACGTTCTACATGGTGAAATTAGTCATCTGCTGGTCATAATGACGATGAAAACAAATGCAGTTAAATCAGAACATTTAAATTACAGGCACATTAATAACAAACTGCCAGCAGCCCTGACCTACAACGCATTATTATTCGCCCAGTCCTAAGTCTGAGGCCTTAATCTCCGACCCGGCACTCGGCTGCTCTCTTGAGTAAAGCTGGCGTCACAGAAAATGACAAATGAACATCAATTACCTTGCGAACTGCATGATGCCGGTGCAGTTGTCGGCGTCCATCGCCACCTTGAGGAAGTCTCCGCATAGCTTAACAACGCCTGGTACACACAAGTACTTAGCCGTCACGAACAGCTGACACGCGTTGTCGGAGTGGATGTTTATCTCCCGCAAATAAACATAATTCAGTATCTGCTTCAACGCGTCTGATCTGACTCCATGGAGGAGAATATCAGTCTCCTCACTGGCGTGCAGTGTTGTGGTGAATAGGGTCCTGAAACGTCCCGAAACAGTCGTAGATTTGGAGAAACGGCGAGCAGAAGATTACAAGCCATGCGCATAAAATTTAAGTTTCTGTAACTCACGTAGAACAAAAGAAGTGCTCTGAATACTTCAAAAACTCCCAGAATGTGGTCTAATGTGACCAGATTACCTGCGAGGGGGTCAGGAGCGTGCGTAGCCTTAACAGAATATAACGTACAAATCGGAAGCTCACAGAAAACCGTTTATGTCAGTACCAGAAAGTCAAGAATGCAGGGTAAAATAGCAAGCAGTGAACATTTGTACTATAGAATTGTTATCTCGTTCCTTACATGCATTTGACTCCCTCAGGAGATATCTGAGGTTATAACAACTATTACAGAAATTTTGAAGCCAACCAGCAAATGAATACAAATATTTCAACATACATCGCAGGCTGTACGTTGCACTGATTGATAAGCTCGTAATATGAAATCTATTTGTTGTCTAAAAAAATTCCCGACAATAAACAACTTATAAGAAAAGCCGGTGTTTCTACGAGGCGTTTAAAAAGTGATCACAACCAGCAAACAATTTCCTATCACAAATTAAGGGCTTTGCAGTGCAAGACAGACAGACAGAAATATATAATTGTCGAAAATCTGAAAGTGGGGCATAGTTTGTAAAATGACTGTGAGAAACGTCTTTTGGAAAAGACACAAGCAAATTAAAGTATGCACAATTTCTCGAAACATTCTCTCCTACCAATGAAACATTTCTCGCGAAGTACCTTCTCACAGTTTATTATATTTCAGTCAGAGCAGCACTACAGCAGCTTTCAATGTTCCGGACAATGGCGTGACAAAGGTGTATTACCAACTTCCTTCTGAACTTTGTTGGCCGTCTTTATGTGTTAAAACCAAGACGTTTCGGAAATGGATTCTGTTTCTCCCTCCATATCGACTGACTGTCACCTTGGTACAACCGCACTTAAAAATTAGCACAAAAAACCACGTACGTCTTCTGGGATGTTGGGTCGTGTTGTCTCGTAGAAATTATCGGACGTTTCAGCGGTGCTTACTGCCTCCATCATCAATCAAAGAAGGCAGCAAGTACGTCTGAAATGCCACTCATTTTCTAAGGCGCAACGTCCAGAAGACATTATTCTTCTTCTTCTTCCTCACCTCCGTGAGATTTCATGACATTGAGCAAATAACAAAAGACAATCAGCCGTATAACAATGCAGGCTTCGGCAACAAAGGGGAAATAACATTTCACATACTAATTGATGTCTATTATGTCCTTATTTCGCGTGTTAGTCAACCACGTCAGTAAATAAGCAAACCTGAAATAATCGCTGAACATCGACAGAATCACTCTGTGGACTCGAAAGACGCCGCCGTCCTCCAACCTCAACACCGCGTCACACAAGAGGTTCTCCTCCCTCAGCTCATTCAGACGGACCGATTCTTCGGTGCACGTGCACCTGACGCCATCTTGCTCAGGACAGCCGCTTTCTCGCCTAACCTCCATCTCCTGAAAAGACAGTCCATCGCTGTTACAGGATTTTCTTCATGATGACGTGTTTGCACATCAACTGAGAGTGACTGAGATAGAACATGGTACTGAGAAGAATACCTGGTCCTGCGAGAGAGTTACTGACAAGGGAATGGCGAAAACTGCATAATATGGAGCTTTATCAGATTCTTCACTAACTAATAAATTGTAGGCTCTCAGATGAAGGGTGACTAGATTGGCGGGACATGTAGTAAACACGGCAGAGACAAGATATGTGCATCTTTGTCGAAAGACCTGAAAGGAAAAGTTCACTTGAGAGTCCTATGCGTTGCTGCGATAATATTAAAATGGATCTTCGAGAGGTGCGGTTGAAGGTGTGCACTGGCTTCATCTGCATGTGGATATGGCTTAGAGGTGGGGTCTTGTAAACGCGGACACGGAACTTCATGTTTCATAAAGGGAGAGACATTTGATCATCTGTGCTACTGTTAGATTCTCAAGCAGGACTTCGTCTCCATGGAGTCAGTTTGTTTCTTTGTTACAGAAATGCCTCTTGACATTTAATGCAAAGTGACAAAGCTCTACATGTGGCATATAACTAACTAACTAACTACCTAGACGGCTTACGGTACCCGAAGTTTCATCACCGAATTAACCAAAGCCCTCCACCGGAACTACCCTGGAATAACAAAATTCAGTCTCCTTCAACTCCTATCTCCCATAGATCCCGCCTGACATTATCCTCCCATCTACGTCTATGTTTTCCCAGCGGTCTCTTCTCCTCAACCTTTCAAAAAATTCCCGGTGCACACCTCTCGCCCCCATCCATGCGCTCCGCATGCCCAGCCCATCTCACTCTTCTTGGCTTAATCACCCTGAAGATGTGACTGATATAGGCAATATTAAGTCATGCCGCGTGTTTGTCATTACTCGCATAAAGTTAAATCTTCTAAGTATAAAATATCAATGCAATCTATAAAGCCTTTGATGCTTCTACTCTGGTGAATCGATTTAAAAAAAATACGACAAAAATATGCCATAGAAATTGCGTGACCTTGATGCAGAACCAGACAGTTAAATAAATTTTGAAAAAGAAGGCTACGCCTTTTCTTAAGCATAAAATTTGCGAGTTCTTCTCTCTCTGTAGAACTAAAAGTGCGTAAGAGCTTACTTGATTAAGGACTTTCGTGCCTAAGTTACACATTTATATACATTATAAGCACAAAATGTAATTTAAATTTATCAACCGAACGCGAGAATTACAGTTGGGAACAGTCACAAAATCTCTAAGTTGTTCTACCGCATACGGAGATTAGACCTACATCACGTCACTCACACAATGCAATGTGCAAGATATTCTGTGAAAATTCGATTGGTACTCGCCTTGTCAAAGAATAAAACACTTCCTTTACTGAACCAGAAGGTTCATCATCGTGTTCACAAAAGCCCGCCACCGTGGTATATCCTGAGGCAATAGCACCCAGTTCGCTCCATCGAGTCTCATCTCCCTAAGGTCCATCTTAATGTTATCCTCCCACCTACGCCGAGGTCTTTCCAGAGGTCTCCTCCCTTCAGCCCTCCCAACCAAAAACTTGAAAACACCCCTCCCCTGTCTACTTCACCCTAAAAACATCGGGTGAGGAACTCGTCATGCTCTATTATCTGTCCCACTTTCGTTTTGGGTCCAAATGTCTTCCTCAACACTCTGTTCTCAAAGACCCTCAGTCTATGCTCCTCCCTCAAAGTGAACGACCACGTTTTGCACCCACACACCAAAACGGGCAAAATTACGCTTTGGTTCATTTTAATCTTAATTTTCTTTTGAAATGAGACGGGAGGACAAAAGTCTTTGAATAGCATTCCCCGGATTTAATCTGCTGATGTTGGAAGATAATAAGAGGGAGATTCGCCGATAATTAGGCTTGTAAAAGCGAAATAAAAATTCTCTACGGTTCCCTAAAACGATTTAATAATGGCGATGTATCAAGAGATGTAAGAAGTTAGAATTATTATTCAGAATACATAACTAACTTCCTAGCATCGATATATTTTTATTAAGATTCTCGGCTACTAAACACGTTTTATTTCTTAAAAATGTTAAAATGTTAATTGCCTACTGGAATATTATTTTACTATCAATGATGTCATAAACAAACAAAAGTCGATGTAATATTACTTGAAATTGTGTTAAAAATAGAACAAGCCTAATTCTCTTACACGAGTTCACAAATGCAGATGAAAACCTGTAAATACGATGAGCTATAATAATTAATAGGAATGTCTTACCTCAAAATTTGTTCACGAGGAAGAGACCTTGATTCAGATATAAAACAGAGAACGTGGTGGATAGTATCACAGATTTATTAATGATTTGGTTATTGTAAAAGACTTTTAACAGCACAAAAGTTTCTCTTCTACGACACACTTCTACAAGCTCAGTTCTCTTCACATTGACGAAAGTCGATTGTTGACGGCAATATATACTAATACAACAATGCAAACGAAAACTGTGACGCAATAATCAGTAAAGGAGTGCAATACGATTTATTCAGGCAATTATACTGCATCTATAAGAAATTAAAAATGAACCTTATGGCATGCTCAGCCAAGATTGTTGCAGGTGTGCTTTAGAAATTCCAATACCTTTTCTTACATTGTTGTACATGCAGGTGTTCACATAAAAGCTGGCCATTGTTGTTCCATATTTACACATTGAAAAAAATATAAAGAGAATTATTCTAACTTATAATTAGGTTACATTCAATCATAAATATAAGAAGTTAATAATTCATACTAAGTACCTCAATTCCAATTGCATTTATTTAAAAAAAACCGCCCGGTTTCAGTATAATTGATTAATTTTAAAGATGGCTGTGACGTAATAATTAGTAAAGGAATGGCGTGCAATACGGTTCATTCAGGCAATTATACTGCATGTATAAGAAATCAATAATGATCCTTATGGCATGCACGGAAGAGATTGTTGCAGGTGTGCTTTAGAAATTCCAGTACCTCTTCTTATTACTTATTTAAAAGAAACCGCCCGGTTTCAGTATAATTTATTAATTTGAATGATGGTGTTGGGGGGTTTCGGGCGCTGATGAGCCTATCACCCCTGGGCCAGAGAAAAATGTTTCCTTCCTTCGAATCCCGACAAAGATATTTTCTGTTGTTCGGACAGCAAGCACTAGGGAAGGATGGAGCTAAGATAAATTCTGTTTGTTCCTGTGAAAGGATCTGATTGACCAAGATCACAAATCCGAAAATTGTCCTGAGGCCCAGAAGATGAATTTGTTAGAAACTGCCACATTTCCCCCTTAATAAGTGGTTTCTTTCCCAGTGTGTTATTGTCTTCAGATATGTTGATCAAACACTGAATTTTTGTTTTAAAAATTGTTTGAAAAGTCTCACAACCTACTATGGAATTATACAGGTGTCCATAAAAAACCTTTACAACTTCAAGACTTGATAAAAAAATTAATGAGTCAAGATAACTGAATTGGGTTTGTTGCTTATTAAACAGCGTCTCTCAAAGTTTTATGCACATAAGTCAGTACACCTCTACATGTGCACCCTTAGTTGCACGTAGCACATCAAGCCGATACTCGATTTCCCTCCATGTTCGCTGAAGAATCTCTGCATTAATGGTTGCAATAGCTTCCACAATTCTTCGATTCTTTTCGTCGATGTTAGAAACCTGTGTTCGGTACACAAGATCCTTAACATAACCCCAAAGAAAAAATCCAGCACGGATATGTCGGGCGAACGAGGTGGTCACGGTATTGGACCATCTCTCCCAATCCACCTATCAGGAACGAACCGCTGACTCCCAGTGGGGTGGTGCTCCATCCTGTTGGAAGATGACATGTTGTTGAATGTCCTCCAATTGTGGGACAGCAGATTCCGTCAGCATATCCAGATACACATTGGCTGTGATTGTTTTTTCGGCGAAGAAGAATGGCCCAATCATTCGGTCGCACATGAGTCCGCATCACACGTTAACTTTCGGGCTATCGCGCACAAGTTCTCTGGCCACATGGGGGTTTTCGGATCCCCATATCCTTACGTTGTGCCTGTTTAGTAACCCCTACACATGGAACGTTGCCTCGTCACTAAAGAGAACACGCTCAAGGAAGCCTTCCTCGACGTCAATTCGAGCCAGCATTAATGGTCCTTATTACAACAGAAGATTGTGCATTCCATTTAATATTTGTTTTCTGTATTTAATAATTCAGTATCTTACATGAATAACTATAAGAACTTCTGGTAAATATTTCTGATTTGGATCAACTGGCCCATGCAAACAAAATAAATGATGTACTGGGGCATCCGACATCATTTGAAGGTCATTTGGACTGTTCTGTAAACAAAAACGAACATTAATCAAAAGATATAACGACCATATAAAAGGAATATCAGACTCAGCAGATAAGTCTAAATTTACAATCCGTGATTCGTGTGGCTTCAGAACAGGTGTTACTAATGAATGTATGTAACTAGAATTTAAGCAGAGCGAAACAAGAGAGCAGGACAATAAAGAGGTGAAACAATTCGAATCATGTAAAGCTAGACTGGACAAAATTAATGTAGAGTTAGACAATACGTAAGAGAAAATTTCAGAGAGATCAGCAGTGGTTGGCAATACTGGTTCACTGCCGCTTGATGTGACTTGCGGTATACAACTCATTAACAAATGACATCACACCATTCAAAGTAAAAATCATTAAATAGAATAATATTAATAACATAGAGATAAAAAGGAGGTGGGATAAAATTTAATATAGAATAAATATAAAAGTAAATTTACAACATACATTTAATCCAATATCGGGCGTGGAGAATGGCAGTGTCTGAATATGTAGCCAAATCTTCGCTTGTGCAGGGAGAATCTAAGATGGGGCAAGCCAGGAGGTGATCCATTGTCTGTGTTTGTCCAAAGGAACACTGGTCAGACACACAAGGATATCCCCATCTCATTAAGTTTGCCGCACACCTGCCAGTATAGGTACAGTGTCTGTTTAAAGTTTTCCAGGTAGGCCGGTCTAAGTCAGAACCTGGAGGAAGGACTTCCTTGGGTTCTAGGCCCAGAAGGTCCTGGGTGTCTATTTCATCACTTCTTATTTTCCATAGCTTGGTTCTTTCATCTTTCTGGTTCCCCTGGAGTGGTGAGGTTCTAGCAAGGAAATTCCTTCTAGATCTGAGTCTTTGATTTGGGGGAAATTGCCCATATAGAGGATGTATTGGGTCTTCCGTTTGCTTTCTCCTCTCTTCTTTGGCATGGACATCTCACTAAAAGTTCTAATTCACTAGAACTGTGTCTCTGTTCGTGTTTGTTTAACCATTCTGAGGCATGGGCTGTTGGTCTTTTTTTGCCGTCTTGATACTGAGACAGAATACATGCTACCGCTACCTTGATGGCGTCGATTGTGACATAAAATGTCCGCGAAAAGTCAGGATATGCCAAAATCAGGGGTCTTAACGCCATTTGTAAATGCTTAAAAGCATCTTGTTGGTCTTGGGTCCAGACAAAATTTCCATTCTTTCTAATCAGCTGGGTCAATGATTTTGCTCGTTGTGCATAATTTGGTATTATTTTGTGATAAAATCCTGTCAATCCAAGAAAAGATCTGACTTCACGTAGTGTTTTTGGAACTGGATAGCTCAGCACCGCTTTCACTTTATCTGGGTTGGTTATTATTCCCTATCTACTTATAATGTAACCCAAATATTCGACTTATGGCTGTGCTATAAAACTTGTATGTGGCTGTAGCTTTAGAAAATCTCCCTCCAGCCTCTCTAACACATGTTCTAGCCTTTTCGCGTGCTTTTCAGGAGTAGAACTGAAAATTATCAAGTCATCTGTGTAACAGTTCACCTCGTTGCTTATTAAATCTGCGAATACTTTGTCCATCAGGGACTGAAACGTCGGAGGTGAATCACATAAACCAAATCTTTAGCGATTATATTCGTAATGCCCAAAGGGTGCGCCAAATGCAGTCTTTTATTTGTCTTTCCTCGCGAAAAGCCTGTTGCTGGAATGCATTCAAATTGACACATGGAAACGCAATGTAAATCTTTGTAAACATGTTTTGTGTTTATTTGCTCTCTGCTTAAATTCTAGTTAACATACAGAAATTTCTATCATAGTGGACTAAACAAAGAAATCAGTACTGAGATACACTTAAGTAAAAGAAACTGTATTAATCATGTAGGATTTGAGGTTTTCACAGCGGTGAGTCTCAAGATGGGCTATTGCGCCGTGTAGTGTGGTAGATCTCCACCAACGTTTCAGAGGTCTTAATCCATGATTTTCTAAAAAGATTCTCTTTGTAAAAGTGATTGATTTTCCAGTCTAAAATAGTCTCTTGGCGTATTTCAATCATAACAAAATATTGTGACGTGTGAGAGCAGCATAACAATGTCAATAAACAGTTTAGTTGTCTGTTTATTGACATTGTTGGGTTTGGCATTGTTGGAATCGTTTATAATTGTTGAGTTTGTTTATAGGCATTGTTGCGTTTAGCATTGTTGTATTCGTTTATAATTGTTGAGTTTGTTTATAGACATTGTTGCGTTTAGCATTGTTGTATTATTTTATAATTGTTGAGTTTGTGTATAGACATTGTTGCGTTTGGTATTGTTGTACTCGTTTATAGAGATATTGTTGTGTCTCTTTATTGGCATTGTTGCATAGACATTGTTTCGTTTAGCATTGTTGTGTTTACATTGTTGCGTCTGTTGATTGACATTGTTGCATAGACATTGTTGTATTCGTTTAAAAACCAAATTCTTTTGGACAACTTGCCTGACGGGATAACCACCCATCAGCAGCAACAGATCCCAGTTTGAATGGTCGAGGCTCCCGCCACGACGTAACCCTGTTAGCGACAGCAAAATTTCCGTTTTTTTATATTAAGACCGTTTACCATTTCCAGCAACGCGCCTTGTGCACAGGAATGGTTTCACCTAGGAAGGGACGATGCTTACGCTAGAGCAGGCCTCCGCCCTTAGTTAGCTTTTTGGTTGGTTGGTTGGATGGTTGCTTTGAGAGTAGTGTAGGAGGTGATAGTGTGGAAAGGGAGTGTGAAGAGAGCTGAGCTGTGAATCGCTCGTAGGTGAAGTGTGTTGTAGAATAGATCATTTTGTGCTGTAAAAGACGTTTTAGTTTGATTAAATTGATTATTGCTAGAGGACATTGGTCTCTCACAATCCAACCAAGTATTCAGTCGGACAATCAGATTCGAGGCAGCAGACGTGAATAATCCAGGGTTGACAAACTAGGTCGTAAATACTGTCCCACGTTACATTGGTGTCAGAAGTGGGATGGTATTTACGACCTAGATTGTCAACCCTGGATTATTCATGATAAGTGTGGACAAAGGACACGAGCAATAAAAGAAGTTACAGAGTGACGGGGACGGAGGAAAAGGGGCGACACATCACAGAATGCGAACTCTTTTTTTTTCCTTTGTGTGACATTCTGTATAATAAAAAAGTCATTCTTTTGCACGCTTAAAACTGTTATCAATTTTTCAGCTAATTTAACCCTGGAAGAACCAATCTTCAAAACACAAAAGCCAATAAATCAGTCGTGGCCCATCCATAAGACCTGCAGCATCCCCTACAATTTTTCAAAAATTGAAAAATTATGTTTTTATTTATATAATTTGTAACACTTTATTTCCTCTATATCATTATTTTAATATTGCCCCTTACGTTGTCATTATCCACTAATCGGAAATCCGCGGGCGAGTAGTTCGAAGCAGAACGGGGCTATCATTCGGCTGCAAGGATTTCAGCGCGGCT